AACCGCTTTTGTGCAAATATCCATAAAGTTGAGGAAGAATTCTGTATGTAAGAATTCTGCTCGTTGCAGTTTGTTGGGTTTTTTCCTCCAGTACTTTTCAAGAAAATCTTTTTTCTCCTGTGACGCCTCAGTTGGAGCAGCTGTGAATCCAAGAATGATGAGGCTCCACTTGGCAAACGTCTTTCTAGGTAGCTGCAGTGAACACAGCTGTCTGGGAGATTGATACAGTTCTGCTGCTGCATCATGGCTTGTGTAGCTTGCTCTCAGCAAAAGATTCATGTCATGATCATTAGGGTGTTCAATTCCAAATGCATCAGATTGAAATGTGGAATTAAAGATGAATTGTTTTGGCCGGCTAACACTGGGTGTTATGTAGGTAAATCTATATAATGCCTTCGTTTATTATAAGCCTCAGTATACACATTTAAATATATACATCTTATTTCAGACTTTGTTCATATATTTATCTATATCTAGGTTAAAATACCACAGCTGTGTTGGTTCTGTGGAAACCTTTGTGAGGTGCCAATTCTAGAACAGCCACTTTACCACTACTTCTGACACATAAAAAATTTTTTGGTTATATCACATGACCTCTCTGTAATGAAGCATAATGTTCTAATGTCCACTGCAAGATGAAAGAAGCAAGAGGTGCCGAAAAGATAAAAATGCCTTCCTCTTTCTGTTTATATAAGCATTTGAAATAGACCTGTATCTCAATGATGCTGGGTAGCGTGCTACTCATGGTTGAAGAGAAGATTAATGTTGGATAAGCCTATTGTATTTTAATTTTCTTCGGGCCTGAGTGAAGAATCCTCCATCTCCTGCAAAATCTGCATGTCATGTTATCCAGACAGACAGGGTGGGAAACTTGCAAGCTGTTCCTGGTTGCTGGAATCAGACAATCATGGGACACATGATTCTGTATTAACTCGGGAAAGAACAGAACATGTTCGTCTCTTCTAGCAACAAACTCCAGATGAGGAGCCGGAATCTCCACTGGTGCCACAAACATACTGTCACATTCAGAAAGAGTATTTTTCCCTAGGCTTCTGAATTAGGAAATTACTACTTTTTTTTTTGCTGTTACAGGAGCAATCTGAAATCCTAATCAGACATCCTCCTACACTTCTTGCAGTACAAACGATAGAATATAAAGTGTCTGACTTGGAAAATATAAATTCATATAACAGACAAGAGCCAACAGATCTGCTTTACAATCCAATTTGTCAAATGTGGAAAAAATTACTTTATTCAAACACAACGCTTTTCACCAAAATAGAACCATCTTGAGGAATAAATCAGTCTAATCACTTTGTTGTTAGTTATATTGCTGTTTCTTATTTACAGGAAAAATGATCAGAAGAAGGACCATAAATCAGCCATTTCAAGGTGATGGGAGGCCTTGTCCTTCTCAGATGGAGCAATTCAAACCCTGTCCAGTAAAACCTTGTTATCGATGGCAATACGGTCAATGGTCTGCATGCAAAGTAGAGGTAAAAGCCATATGGGACTTCGAAGTTATGGAGCTTGTATATCTAGGTATATTTGTGATATGCTGAGATACCTGCTTCATAACACTGTATACAATTTGCTTCCACCTCTCATACAAAAACTAAAGATTTATTCTTAGAGTTCATATTTGTCAACAGATACAACAATGTCCTACAGATATTCAAAGTATAACTGTAAACTTTGGTAACCAAGCAGTATCTTTGTTAATAATTGAAATCCTTCTATTGTAAAAGAATATCTGTGGAAACAGATTGGCATCCTAGAAGAGATCTCCACTTGAGATATTGCCGTCGTTACAATTCAAAGGCTTAATTAGCTCCATACTTTAAGAAACAGTGGTAGCAGCCAGCAGAATTTTTGTTCTGGTTTTTTTTTGTTTGTTTGTTTGCTCGTTTTAGAAGTAAAGAACAATGTTGTTTTGGAGTGACATGTAGCTCAGATCTAGTCTTTTGGCACTTTCTTCTGTCCAGCATCCATGTATATCCTTCTTCCCCAGGATGCTCAATGTGGAGAGGGAACACGGGTGAGGAACATTTCCTGTGTGGTTTTTGATGGATCCATTGAAGATGTTGGCAAAGTAGTAGATGAGGAATTCTGTGGAGAAGTAGAGCCTATTATAGATGGTAATAAGAAGATGATACTTGAGGAAACCTGCACTGTCCCTTGTCCAGGTAACACAGCTATTCAAATAAATGTTGCATTTCAAGACTGGTTGGGTATCATTACAGTTATCAGTGCCTAGCACTAGCCACAGGCAATTAAATCTTTTTCACATGCTTTACTGATTGGATTCATCCATCAAATGACCAACAGAGTTACTTTCTGGTAGTGGCTTCATGACAATAAATCAATCAGAAAAAATACCAGGGTTTAAATTTTATAAAAGACATATCTCAGTCACAAAATATACCTAATAAGAATATATTTTTTCACAAAATCTTTTGAAATAAAATAAAGAGTGTAGGTTTACAGCTAAATATTTGCTTTAAGTGCTTACATCACTAACAGCTTTATTAATACTTTTAACAGTGGCTAAGAACTTGATGCCTTTTACGGGTGTCTAAGGGAGCTAAGCCAGGGAGTCTTTTTTTTGTGTGTGTGTAAAGGGGCTATACCAAATGAAACTAATATTTTGATCCCTGAGAAAATGTGAGTGTTTTTAGCTGTTTAACTTGCTGGATGTGACATGCACTATCATTACCCTTGTAGACTGAATCCAAAGGAGCTGTTATAAATGATCAGGTCCATGACCCTCATAATGAGAAGGATTAAGAGCCTATAACAGCTGTTTAATTTCCAGTAAAACCTCTCCAGTTCATTTCAAACACTTATTTGTAGAATTTGAAGTATATTGCTGTTGTTCAGTAGAGTCATTAGTGATGTATCTTCAGAAGTAGTGATTAAGTCCTTCAGTTCTAATGTACCTATAATTCCATACCACTACTGTTTTTGTTCTCTTGCAACCCTCCTTTTTCTCAGAATTTTTTTCCAGTTCATTTCAGATTGAACTGAAGGTAAAGTTGCCTCAATAAATAGAAAATAATAAAAAATGGAGAGGCTTCCATCACTGCTTTGTGCACAGCATTCCAATTGCATGGTTTTCACATATTTTTACTTATTAAATGAAAATTGTTTCCTTGTTAGTCGAATTTATAAAAAAAATATAGCTGCTTACTGCTTGCTTTTAAAATTTTGCTGAGCAGGAACCTGTTCTTCAACAATCTCACATTTAGCCAGCAAGAATAACTGCCCTGTGGGGATGTGCTAATGATACACTCCAACTAATGTTTCCAAAAATCACTACTTGTTTTCCCATTACGTATACATCAGTTTTTCAATTATTCATTTCTTCGCATGCTTTCCTAACGTAGGCAAATAAAATTCCTTCATTAATCAGGCATCTGGTCAACACAGTACTGATTATATCTGTCATCAGTATAATGCAAGGTAGCATGAATTTTTAATAGCTCTTTCACTGAAATAATGAGAACTAAGAGGTTTATTTATGAGTCTGTGCACAGTCTAGTCCCATTTTCTACTGCAGTTTTAACAAAATTGTCTCTTGTGTTAAGGAAGATCTCTAAGATCTTCCTTAAATGTTCTGTAGCTGATCATGCTAATTAGTGTCATTAGTATGATTTTATTTTTCAGTTTTACTCTATAAGGTAACATTCTACAAATCTCTATTACCCTAACATGAAATAGCCAGAGCAGACATTTTAATCACCCTCCCATTTCCCTTTCTTGCAAAGAATGTTCCAGCAGTTTCTTCTACTGTCTGTTTAGAGAAATTCTGTGTGAGGATAAGAAACAATTAATCTTTTTAAAACTAGACAATGTTTTCTCTTTCTAAGATAAAAGAAGAATTGTGAAAAAGATATATAAATTTAGTGTAAGGCATACAATGCACAATACCCTAAAATTTACAAAAATCCAGACATTGGGTGGAGTGTTACTCAGAAATTCAAAATGAGAGTGATCTTATGGGAATGCTACAGGAAACTACTCTGCTTTACAATAAATAGGCTTTCATAGGATCTTTTTATTACTATTTTCTAATGCACAGATATTCAGAGAGTGTCAAAATATTATCTTTTTTTAAGTATAAGTCACATTTAAAATGAGGAATGAAAGAAACTATAAAGAGGGAAAATTAAGAAACCAGATTTGGACATTTTTTTCTAAGACGTATTCAGTGTGAAAAACTCTTCACATATGATGATCGTTCATCTTATAAACTGTTATTTGACAGGGGACTGTTACTTGAGAGAGTGGTCAGAATGGAGCCTTTGTCAGCTAACCTGTGTTAATGGTGAGGATCTCGGCTTTGGAGGGATACAAGTCCGATCTCGGGCTGTGATCATTCAGGAATTAGAGAATCAACATCTCTGTCCAGAACAGGCTTTGGAAACAAGACCATGCAATGGTAAGCACCAGAATACACAGAAGGCCACTTCCTGTAAGAAAAAATACAGAGCAACAATAATTTTGTTTTCTTTCTGTTCATGGTATCAAATCTAGGCAAATACGGATTTGATAGACGTAGAAATGTACTTAAATTTTTGTTTTCCAGGTATGAACTGCAAACAGGAAAACTTTCAAATGCTATCATATGTTTCCACTTTAAACACAATCTTTGGAGAACCGATGATCCTTTTTTAATAACAAAATTTCTTTTTATGATATGGGAAAAAATAGTTGTCTCATCTGCTTGATAACATTAATAAAAAGAAATCTTTACATTTTGATACATAACCAAATTTAGATTTCTCTCTACCCTTTGAATTGTTGTTAATCGCATGACAATGACATTAAAAAGTCTCAGTCATGCTTACCACTGCTACTGGACAAAGTATCTAAGAAAAGTCATTTTCTATACAGACATTTCTTGTCCATTCAGAGGCCAGACATATCAGGCAAAAAGGAATTTTATATTTATGAGGGAGCTAAGGGGCAGAAGGACTTCATGATTTATCCCAGGCCATATGAGTGGTTTACAGCAGAGCTGAGACGTGAAGCCAGATGCAGAACAGACCACTTCAACAAGCCCTGGAGCACTGACTGAAGCTCAGTGTTACCAGGGAAGGAACCTGACTCCTAAATGAGTTTTGTGCAACAGATGGGCCACATGGGCCATTATGAGGTTATTGGAAACAAGTGTTTTGCCCGTTAGCTACATTAGGCTTACTCCATGAGCGGTGTGTACAACCATTATAGTTAGTGTCTGGGATGCATCTGGTCTATTCTGTATGTACCCAGTAAATGCAGGAGACCTTGGGGCCTCCATGTGCGCAGTGTACTCTTCTAAGTTGCTGGGTGAAGGAGGAAGGGGCCTACTGAAAGAGTGGTCAGGCCTTGGAACAGGCTGCCCAGGGAAGTGGTAGAGTCACCATCCCTGGAAGTATTTAAAAGACGTGTAGATGAGGTGCTTAGGGACATGGTTTAGTGGGCATGGTGGTGTTGGGTTAACGGTTGGACTTGATGATCTTAGAGGTCTTTTCCAACCTTAATGATTCTATGATTCTATGATCCTATGATTCTATGATTCTATGATCCTATGATTCTATGATTCTATACTTAGCCATAAAAGCCGTTAAACATAATGAGTATGGTCTACTGATGAGTGTGGCTGCCACCAGTGGTAGCCTAAAATCTTGTCACCAAATTTGTTGAAAAATGAATGTTCTCTGTCTAGATGGCCAGTGCTATGAATACAAGTGGATGGCTAGCCCATGGAAGGGATCTTCTCGAACTGTGTGGTGCCAAAGGTCAGATGGTTTAAATGTCACAGGTAACTACTCTTTTTATATACACACAAAAGCCTGGAAAACAGGGGGATAATGTCTTTTCCCAACAAATAGTTTTTTTTTTTTTTAAAGAATCTATTAAAAACGCTTGTTCCTGATGTATGAATCAACGTGCTGTTGTCTTGAATCATTATGTTTTTGCATACTAAAGATGTAATCTCTTTTCCAGAATTATGCAGCATGTAATGCTAAAAGTAAATATAAATATTATCTTCTGTACTGGACCTAGAATGTTTTACATTGTATACTTTTTTTGCCGTAGACATCTTTACACTTCTGAATTCAGGGTTTCAGATTTCAAGCCCTACAACAAATAGAACTTTTATGTATTAAAGTTCATTTCAGTGCCTATACAGAGGCAGAGAGATGCAAAGCTTGATAATATCATGCATATATCATGTATCTCCTTAAAATTACAAAACATCAAATTTTAATAAATGTGCTAATATGTTTATTTCTTCACTTCAGTGACATAATCCTATAGCAGGATACTTCAGTGGACAGCTATGGGATGTAGTTACTTTTTGTACAAACCAAAGCACAAAACACCACAAATTAAGAATGACTGAGGTCTCCGAATTCAAGAAAATCTTCATATATATCTATTTATATGAATTTGTTTATCAGAATTAGGGATTCATTTAAGTTAAGAGTTATGCATTTGTTGTTTAAATAATTTTTATATCAGCCCAGGTGATAGTAAAAGAATCCTAGAGATTGTAAGCACATCCTCAATGCCAGCCACTATAAGATCAGTCACAGGAGGGGAGCTTTAATTCATAGACTGCCAATACAATACTTCCTGATGATGGTATCCACCACTACTGGTTGTTGTAACAGTAGAAATAAAATATCTGTATTATATTTGCAAGGTTTTGAAATAATACTTAATAGCCCAAAGTCTCTTTTGCAAGTGTCACCTTGTGCTGTAAGAATATTAAAATGCATCATCTTCACAACGAATGCAACAGGGCATTATTTATGCACCTTGATTGCTTCCTGCCTAGCTAAGATGCTTGTATGGTAAGTAAAAGTCTAAGTAAGAATTCTTATTGAGATTAATATATGATATTATCTATTAAAGGTCCTACAGGATTTCAAAATAAATAGCGTCTTCGTAATTATGACTCTGAAATGTTAAAATCAGAATATATTCATAAATCACAGTCAGTCACATAAAAATAATAGTCTGTTCTGATGTGACTGAATACAGCCATGTGATAAATTCCAGGAAAGAAAAGTGCATGAATGTGTGTTGTTGGCAGGTTTTTCATGACAGGACCTCCTAGGCAGACTAATCTCAGACCTATATTATTATCTCTTTTTTCAAAGTTTGTCTGTACATGGTTTTGAAGCTGTGGTAACTTTCTGATTTGAAATGAAGACTAGTGGAAAATTCCAGACAATGTAATCACCAGTTTCCATGCAATGCAAAACTGTACTTTTTATATGTTCCTGATAGTTTTCAAACAAAGCACTTAAGTATAATGTTCTGCGAGAACTTCTCTGCATGAAGTATACAGTCGTGAACCAGATTGTAATTTACATTTGAATGTTTTTTTGAAAGTGGTTTGTATAAACTACAGTATTTAAGAACTCAAACTGATAGATGCACATACACGATTGATTTAAATGGATATTACCTATTTTGATCTAGAATCAACCCATATCTCTGATTACTGTGTTTCTTTGCTGCCTTATTGCTGCACATTTGGCTCTAACATAGTGTATTTTAATTCAGACATTATCAAATTTTTATTATGAGTCCTGTTGGTATTTTAAGGCCTTTATTTGTTTACTTACTTGCATAATATTATTGTGCTGAATAGTTCTTTTTTACTTGAAGGTGTTTTTTCCCATGGGCGATGAGGCAACTCTTTCCTTCTGCAGCTTCCTTCGATGACTGATATTTTATTACATAGATTCCCACAGGCATGTGATTTGTATGCTAGGATGGACAATTTTCTTTTCTGGGGGTGGGGAAAACTTATGGCAACCAGCAGGGTTTTCTTTGTTCTTCATCGGCCATCCCGTTAACACTTGGATCTACATAACCACATCTAACTGCATCTGCTATGGTCGTGACCCCCCACAGCTATCAGGATTTCATCATCATATCACACCAGTATAAAAATGTTGTTAATTTGGGAGATGCAAGATAAGTCATCCTGTAGCAGTATAAATTTTAAACTATGTGATACATATTCCTCTTCTGTAAGCTAGAAGGAAACCCAGGTAAATTCACACTGATTCTAAATGTATTTTAAAGTCATTCTGGCTGAAATGATAGTGAAAGCCTGATTGTGTGTATTGGTCCATAACAATAACTGCACTGTACATAAAGCTGTAAAATGAGAACCAGGACTGTATAAAAAGGAAAAAGACTGAAACCCAGTATATCAACAGTATCACAGCATTCAGTACATGTTTTACTGATAATACTTCTTTCCTTCTGAAAAATCTGTCTTAGACTAGCATGAAGCGTGGCTTCATAAGAGGCAAAGCTATAGCATGTGTAAAAATTACTCCCGAGGAGCAGCAGAAAACAGGTATCCGTTCATAAACTGGACGAGTAGTTTGTTTCCAGTTTAACAGGCAAAGATATAAATCAAAAACATGCTTTTATTTTCTTTGTGGCCACAGTTTTAATATGTAAGTCATAAGGAGGGCCCTAGAGAACCAAAATCTGTTCCCTCAAGCACAACAAAACATTTAAACTGTTTTTTGAGCAATCCACCAAAAGAACAAAGGGAAAAACAAAAGGTTCACTTGCCAAATATTAGTTCTCTAAAATGCACATGAATGCAAATACATGTGCTGTATCCTTACTCTACCTACAAGAAAATACTTGATAGCAATTATCCTTCACCTTCGAATAAGAGAAGGATTCCTAAATTCAAATTAGCAATAAAATTGTAATCCATCACATACTGTAGCAAGTAATGTCATCAGTAATTTCATCAGTGGTGAGGTATTACCATGTCAAAATATGATTTTCTGTCCTACAGGGGGCTGTTTAGTGATGCGCCAACCAGATGCTGACAGGTCATGTAACCCACCGTGCAGTCAACCCCACGCTTACTGCAGTGAGGTATGTGCTACTGCATTGGAGCATAAAACACCCCCGTGAGGGCTTCCCACACATCTCTCTGCATTACAAAGATTATGCCAACAAAAAGTATTTTCAGAGATTTTGCTAATCATTGATTTGTTAAAATCAACCTCAGACCATTTTCTACCTTTCAATTAAATGTTGAATAATCTCTGTTGATTTGGTACAAACCTGCATAAAAATACATGAAGCTCTTGTCTAACACTAGGCTAGCACTCATCAAAACAGTCTTCTCTTCCAGTCATCCATGTTGTTATGCTTTATGGCTCACAGAAAACTGTGTTTTTCTGCTACACAGTGTAAAACACTTGTTCCCCACAGACTAGAACGTGCAGTTGTGAAGATGGATACACTGAAGTTATGTCCTCCGATGGCACACTCGAACAGTGCACTCTCATCCCAGTGGTGGTGATCCCCACCATGGAGGACAAAAAGGGAGATGTGAAAACCAGTCGAGCTGTGAACCCTACCCAGCCCTCCAGTAACCAGTCAGGACGAGGAAGGACCTGGTTTCTACAGCCTTTTGGGCCAGGTGAAGTCATGCAATGAGCAGTTCTTAATGCTAAGTACTGCTGCAGGGTCTGGCATTTACATTTTTGTGATGCCAAGGAAGAAAAGAAAAAACCTTAAGTGTTCATTTAAGAAGACAGGCATCTGCCCTGACTGAAAACGAAGGAAGAGACATAAGCAAACCCCTAACCTTCTCAGCTACACCATCAACATATTTAATAAAATCTTGTATTGCAGAAGATTTCCTTTTAATCCCTTCTACCTGTTAAAATTCACAGAAGCTATTTGAAATATGATTTTATGAGGGAGTTGGCTGCAAAGGTGCAAGCCAGGATATTAGATTATGCTGTCTCAATCAATAATGCTGTTGACAGAGGAGTGAAAAGGTAGCACTGAAGACTGCAAAGGGCAAGGGCTGCTTAAAATTTGCAGCCATAGCGTAAATGATAGGAAAATAATCAGTATAGATATGCTAATGCTTTTCTGTCATATCCATATTTAAACTAATTCATGTTAGACAAGAGCTAACCGTATTATTGATATTTAGCATAGACATGCTCTAAGTCTCTGTAGGCAGTATTTGCTTTTATGATGGACCATGTTCTTTAGATCTGAGCAAGGACTTACGTGCAAGAGTGGCGAGAAATGTAAGACAGTTATCCCATCAAAAATACTTTATAAAGTCCATCATGTAATCAGATTTCAGTAAATATTTCCTGGTACTATTAAGCATTGAGATAAATAAAACTTTAATTAACAAAATACTTTCACATAAAGAGGTATGATGCTTGTCCAAAATGTTAATTACATGAAGAGAGCAATTGGTTATCTTCTTAAGTGTGTTTTAAATCACATAGGGCTAAGTATTCTAACACACTTATGTCTTAGGGTGTTCATTTCTTTCTAAAGCTTTTATGAATGTTTTTAATCTGAGAATTGAAAACTATCTTTACATGCATAATCCGTAAAATGCTGCAAATTGAGAACTGCAGCAATACTTCTAATAAGCAGATAAAATCATGTTCGGGTTAGAAATACTCATGTTCATTCCCATTAGTTTTACTAGTATTTACTGTTATTTGTACTGCGATACTATATTTGATACCTGCAATAAAATGGTCTTTACTCCAATTAGTTAATACTTTAATCCACAATAAAGAAAAAAAATTAAGCTTTTCTGGTCCTCCTTTAAAAAAATAGCATCTTACCAAATATGTTATCTTTTACTCATTCTAGCTAACTCACCTGAAAATGCCAGAGGGTGGGTTGTAGGAGCCAGAGTGCCAACAATAAGCAAATGTCAGACAGTCACCTTCAACTATTTAGGAACGTGGATGCTCATGTGAGCTCAGACATGGTTTTTGGAGCAAGGAACAGTTGAGAGATTTCATGAAAACTTACGAATTTTACAGTAATTCAAGAAACAGCTCAGCTCAGATAAAAACAACGGTATTCAATAGAACTAATACTTTATCCAGTGAAGGTATGATCAAATGTGGAAGAAAGTGAACATTTTGCACTTCAGATGAGATTTATGCTTGATTGTTTTAATTCCAGGATTGGGTATCTATTGGAAAGATTTTGATTTACTCTAACATGATTATTCCTTTCCTCCCAGTTTCTAAGTCTAGATTTAAAATAGTTCTTTCACTGTCTTCAACAAATTATATTGCCGTTCCAGAAAGGAAGGTATTAAAACTATCCTCTTCAGGTGTCTGTGCTGATGTGTTACCCAAAACAGATGAGTTTAAGATGCCAATTCCCTTGCATACTTAGAAATAATCTGTCCAGGGGGAATTCAGAAAGCCTGAGTTAGATGCCTGTAGTTGCATAATAGGAATGACCTCATTAACAGTGTTCCCTGCTTTGAAAAAAAACCACAAATACATACACAAGGTAATACCAGTCTTTTTTTCAAGGAGATAATACTATTTTAAAACAAACAAACCCAAAACAACCCGAAACCCCTTACATTGACCAATGGAAATAAGCCAAGGAGAGAAGAAACTAACCTATTTAGCAGTACTGAAGTCCGAATTCTTCTCATTCGTATTATCATATCATTGGATATGTCAGGTCAAATCTACTGTTCAATTCATCTTTAATGGATCAGTTATTTCAGTTATATCAGTTATTATCAGTTATAATGTTTCATTAGGTTGATTAATGTAATGAAGCTAAAATGTTTTTATATTGGTTAGTCTTGAACAAGCTGTCCACATGACGGCAAGACTTTGCATTGCTAGAGAACAGAAAGCCTGAACTTAACTGCACAGCAATAGAGCGCGCTACTGTGGATCTAAGCAAAGTCAGTCTGACCAATTTTTTATTATTATTACTGTGTAGAAACATCAACTGCATTGATAATGTCTTTTTGTTCTACAGAGGTATCAGGAAGCAATCGGTTTTTGGTCAGAAAAATTTTAGCTGTGTTTGCTTACATTGAAAATATACACGACTTCATGAAATAAAAATTTTGTCCCTTGTAAGTGAAATAATTCAGGGTTTTTACAGAATTTTCATTGTCAAGAAGGTGCAACAAGGCCAGCTAACTTTCTGTAAAAGAATGTTTTCAAAAAGCCATTTAGAAATTTGCAAAATTAATCAGATAAAAGTAGTGAGTCAAACAATATGTACTGACCTGGGGTTGTGACACTCATTTGGGGCTCAGAGCAAAACCCCACAGACGGAGAAAGTCACACCATTCTTCCCTCATTTTCCTGGGGTGAGTGCATCTAGGATCAAGGCAAGCAGGAGAGTGGGATATATACCTCAGCCTGCAGGGACATCATGTCCAAAATACAGACTGCACAGGTACAGTCCTTATTAGCAACAGACTGTTGTTCTATTTATGAGCATGGGTTGTCTTTTTTGGTGTATTTTTGCTTGTTCTTTGAGGGGAAGTTGTTTTATAACAACAAAACTTGCATTTGGTAGGGGAAGAAATTGAAAAATTATTACTTTATGCAGTAGTGAAAGTTGTGTATGTGCAGTTAAGGTATGGATGAGGTAAAACACACTAAAGGTATTTAAAAATATAAAATTAAATAGAAGAAGAATGAATGAAATACAAGAATGAAAATAACAGGCAGATTGGTTTACGGGAGCTAGAATGGAAAGTGATGCTAACAGCATAAATGAGTCCCAGGCTGACCCACTGCCCTGCAACCATGCTGAAGGATTGTCTGCTACCAGCAGGCCCAGGGGCTGGGTTTATGGGGGTCTCACTTGCTGCCTCTGCCCCACATCTCGGCTCTGTTCAGATTATCCAAACTTTGGCTGAAAAGCAAAACACAAGTGCGCAGGGAAGCTATTGCTCAGTTGTTTAATGGTATTTACTCTTATTAAGCTGTAACTGCTAGTGAAGACATTTATTTTGGATTATAAAAGTATTTCTACACTATATCGGAACTAATAATTCCACAAGACTAACTCAAACACTACTGACTAACATTCATTCCTTTTAGATGGGAGGCTGAAGACCTGGGTTTATGGTGTAGCTGCTGGTGCATTTGTTTTACTCATCTTTATTGTTTCTATGATCTATCTAGCCTGGTGAGTTCTTTAATTATTTACAAACAAGCAGTCCCACACAGACTGTAATGCAAGCGTTTACATATGCCACTGTAGAAACTGCAGGCAATTCTGTGAACTGCAGTGTTTAATTTTCCATGTCCTTTTGTCCAAGCTCAGGTTAGTGGACTCTGGTTGTAGTCTAGATGATGGATAAACACATGTTCTGCTGAAGAACTTCTTACAAATACGGGGTCGCTTAGTGTATAGTTTATTTTTGCTCAGTTTATCCCTGTTAAGAACGTACTGCGTCCATGATAATTTCATTGCGTCTGTATCACAAAACACAGAGAGAAATAGCAAGAAGGAAATTTAGTAATCAGGCAAGTCAGATTTGGTATTTGGCAGGATATGGACACCAAAAAAAGTCTGAAAACTTTCTCATGTGTTTTTCATACATGAAATAATATTTTTTTTAAAAATCTTAGTGCATGTGAAAGCAAAGATTTTTTGCAAGAACAAGTCACCTTTGAGAATGCTCTCCCTGAAGTTTTCTAGGTCCTGTTTGGAATTTCTGATCCAAATGACGGTGCAGGTGGAAGGTGAGGGAAGTGTGGTTGTACACATCAGGCTCTTGGCTGTACTGCATTAGTAGGCATTTGGGGGGCTTCCGCATTTGTTTGGGTTTTAGTAAACCTTCCCCAAAATCTCACAAGGAACAAAATCTTTTATTTTTTGAGGAAAAGAAAATCCATTAGCATACAACTCTACTGCAGATTCTTCGGACTGGAATCTGTGGCCTCTGCAAGCCACTGTAACAACTGGTTTGGTAACAAAGATTTAGATTTGGGCAGCCTAAGTGACATAGCTAAGATTTTGGACAAGACTAAGGATGCAAAGGCCTGATTTAAAGAAATGCTTATATTACACTCTAAAAGACGACAAGTACTAGACCATACATAAACATGCATTTTCCTTTGGCTTGGTAATTTTTTAAAACTGTATCAAATGGATTAGAACTACTGCTGCATTAAAATCTAATTCAAGGCTAGACAGGGAATGGTTATGGCTAACAACCATATCCCTGCTATTTATGACTGGTTTGATTATAACATCTAGAATTAACTGTAGTCATTCCAGCAAGTATAATGAGATAAAACTAATCAAAAGTCGGAACTCTCCTGTGAAAACCCTTGATGTGTCAAGAGAGGTTAAGATTTGAGTCCTATAATTTAAAAGAACCTGATTGCAGCTTTGATACATGACCAAATACTGCACTGCAGGCTCTGGGTTCTTCTGAAAACTGACTGATCTTGCAGGATTACCTGCCAAGGATTTCATCGAGTCACATCAGCGCTGTAACAGCCTGTTTCTGAACAACTGAGCTTTGAATTAGATATTGCTTTAGGTTGATAAAGAGATAATTACTGATCCAAGTGAAGATTTTAGGCTTAAAGCTTTTACAAATGAACAACCAAATGCATTATCTTAAAACAACACGCTCATCTTTCATTTAAGACTGAAATCCATCTTTGCTATATAATTAGTTTCTTGTTCTATTTACAAATTATCTTATTGTTTCAGCAAAAAGCCAAAGAAGCCCCAGAGAAGGCAGAACAACCGACTGAAACCTTTAACCTTGGCTTATGATGGAGATGCAGATATGTAAAATGTAACTTCTCATGGTGACAAATGGAGTCTAAATTAATGGATTGAAATCAGAAGGTATCCAAAGCCACAGGGATTTTCTATGGAGTGGATTAAGTGTTTTGACTTTTTCTTTTTTGTAACTGCACCATAGATAACGAAGGATGGATTTCATAATACCTACGGATATTCAAGATATTATTGCTTTGCTTTAGACCATCAGCACTGAGAAATCTGGCAGAATCACATTAATAGACACTGCAGTTGGAGATTTGTGGTCTTCCCTCAATCTTACAAACTATAAGCACCACTTCTGTCTCCAGAATACTGTAGTTGACATAGTATTAACAGTTGGAAGCCCCTGCAATATTAACCAAGTATAATCAGTCCGCATGAAGAGTTTGTACCAAGCTGTCTATGACTCTTTATATTCAAGCATAACATATATACTCAGTTGAACCATATGTATTACTCTATCAGATTATATACTTGTTAAAGAGCATTTTAGTGCTTCGTACAATATTAACTTTTAACTGGGATTAACCCACTGAGCAAGTTCAACACTTTGCCAGTTGATGATAACTTGCGTTAACCTGCATTTCAGAGGGCAATGACTCACTTGCAAAATTCTGTTCTATTATCACTCCAAAGCATAAAGGCCTCGTATGTACTTCCAGAAAGGAGGCATTCTCAGATTCAGTATTTTCTAGCGGTTGCTGTCTGGAAAAACAATACCCATTGTAAATGTTACAATACGTTTCTACTTTCTCTAACTCAAACTGTTGCCTGCATCTTTTTTGCTACATGTAAGGCAAATTTTTGCACTATATTAGTGCAGCATGATATGCACTTAACTAGTATTGCCATAGAAACTGCCTCTTTTCAGAAAGGATGATGATGTATCTTGTGCAAGGAGTGTCAAGTAGACAGGTTCTTGAATCCTGAAGAGAGTAGCATTCGGTTTGGACTGCGACTGGATGGAATCGGCTAACGACGTGTACTGTACACACCGTTCCTCGTCACAGCAGCCATTTGTAGTCTATATCATGGCAGTAATACAAGTGTCTAGTTTCTTGCCCCATCTACCTATACTGGTATAGATTGTCCTGCTGGTTTCTAATTGTACTTTGAAGGCTGTTTATGACTAGATTTTTTATATTTGTTAACTTTGTTAGAAAAAAAAGAAAAGAAAAAGAAAAGTGGTTGCCCTGCAATCTTGACTGACATACTTACTGTCTAAAAAGGTATTCTGATTGATTGTTCAACTAAAATAAAATGGTTTTGCTTTTTTTTCCTTCTGCTAGTAGGAGCGTTTTCACTGTTGCTGACAGTGCAATACTCAGAGCCCTTTTGTCTTTTCTAATTAGGGTAATTGGATAGACTCTTTTAATTATTCAGTTAAACTCTTGAGTGTACTGGCAAGTAAACAGTAAGATCAATAGTTCTGCCATTTTAATACTTCTTAAAAAACTCTGGCAGTATAAAAACTCACTGTTAACTTCTTCCGTGCTTATGGCTTTCTCCAGTGTTATGCTTCCGACATGAAGCTCATTGACTTGCCACTGTATCTACATGCCTGTTACAGATGTGATTCATGACCTGAGAAGGGTTATTCTCATCAAATGGCTTCGATGTGTAGCCTGAACATATAAGTGACTGTGCCACTACTAAGCAATACAAAACTTTATCAGGCAACCTCTCAAAAATAATTGTTATATAAAGTTCAATATTAGGTTCTCAGGTCTTTTTTATAACCTAAACCATTTCTGCCTACTCATCATGCTATTTACTCAAGAAGCACCAGTTTTTGCACACTGAATAAAATTGTAGCTTTGCAAACTTTGGCCCAGATCCACTGAAATCAATGACAAGACTCTCGTGGACATCAATGGGTAACATCAGTCCTTAAAAATATCTACTTTTGTTCCATGTAGAATAATTCTTGGCACCAATGTGCATTTTGTGAATGTTCAAAAGAGATTATGGTCCTACATTAACTTAGCTAACTTATGTTACCAGTGTGGTGTTACTGCATCAAGAAAATTATCTTCCTCCCACTGCATAAGTATTCCCCAAATGGGAATGATGACCAGAGAGGAACAATAGTAACAATCTTTTATACAGGTTTAATTTCTCATTTTATACCTTGATCTGGCCACAGCTGGTGAACTGCCATGGCCCCCTGCCACAGCAGTAGTTCATTCATACACATGTTGCAGGACTGGGGGCTTCAGTCTTACATTGCTTTGTAAAGATCCATAGGAAAAAAACAAATCTGAATGAATTTAATTACTTCAGCATTCTTGAGTAGAAAACAAGAAAAAACTAGTTGATTCCTATTTTGTCAGACATACAAAAAATAACATGCAAAAGTTGTAAAGTTTTAAGGAATGGTAACTATCATGTGGAGACACAAAGCTTAATCATGATTTCTGTACTTTGAAAAGTCTGATTCTGTGTTGTCAGATAGTATTGGACCAATAGGGAATTGCAGGAACAAGGTTTCTTTCATTGGCAATGAGTCATCTTTATTTATTATACTGGCTGGTCTTAGCAGGAGCTGTTGCCTAGTTCTTGCCGTGAAGATTTTTATGTCCTAAATCTAAGAATTTAATAACTTGAAGTTAAAGGTATGCCACCTCCTTTTTCTCACTATATAAAACGGACAAACGAGGAAAGAGATAGGAGGGTTCTTTAAGCATGTTTGGCCTTTGAAATCCATGCAAGTATTTTAGTATGTGTGACATTTTATATCTGGTCAGTGAATTTTCCTGGTGCACGTCTGCATCATACTAGTGCTGCATTTAAAATGTAGAGTGCATTTTTATTATTTTTTTATTTTATGAACAAAGTGCACGGAAATTTGAAGCCAGAATGGCTTCCCTCATTATCAAGGAAAAAATATTAGGCTATAAGGAGGGCTGAAATTGTATGTAAAGCTAAAAGTTGCAAAGGTGATTAAGCCCTTTAGCATTGAAACAGAAATAAATAATAGGTAAATTATCAGTTTAGAATGAAAAGCTATTTGCTTTAAAAACCAGAGTGCTTCTACAAATCCAGTGCCTAAAGCAGCCACTACCGTAGATTGTTAGTTTGTGAAAGTAACGTTTCCAGTGTTCAAATAAACCATGAGGAAAATAGCAAAGTAGATATTTTCCTGTTGATGTGGTGGTTTGTATTTTCCTTTTTAAATCTGTAGTTTCTAGATTACTGTGTCTGCTTTGAGTCCTGGAGCAGTTCCTTTTTGAAGCTTTGGTGCAACTGCACTAGCTTATTTATATTTGGTATAATGCATCAATTTTGAAACTCCCTTTCTCCTGCCAAACTGTAATAAAGTTTGTTTTCCAATATTACTATCTGAAGAAACCAATTTAAAAACTCCGTGTATAAATCACTGTAAAATATACCTTGAATGAAATGGAAATCTGTCTTTTTACCTTTATGTAAATTGTGCTCACCCAAAGTTAAGAGTTTATTTTGCCTAACTTAATTTACTTGAATATTTATTTTGTAGAACAAGGAGGCAGCTGTCTGAGGAATGTTTACCTTTTTTTTGTTAATGTTAATTTGTAAATTGTGTAATGCATTTTTATTTTTTAAATTATGTATATTTCTTTTTTAATGCACAAAATGTTTACGTACAACTACTGCAAATTTGTGTATATTGTCACTAAGCTTTATTCAGTTAATACAGATGACGTGAAAATGTAACAAGTCTTACATTTTCATCTGGGTTATTTTTACATAACTGATGTATTGCTGACAATAAATATAAACACAAAACCATTTCATGTCTTTTTTTAACAGATGTAGTATACTATGCAGGGATAGAGTAACAATAAAAGCCAGATCCCTAAAATAAGACCATATTTTAAATGGTCTCTTTTTTTGAAAGAAATTAGCAAACGTACCCTTGTTAAAATTAGTATTTATCTTTAGAAAGAAAGAAAAGTACTTTCTAATGCTAAGGTAACTATCAAAGCCCACTGCTACAGTCCTTGTTGACATAGAAGTTTACAATGCATATTTACTTCATCAATAAATATCCAATAAATTCAGTAAGTCAATTGTACTTTAAATTTTCTTTCTGAATTGCCATTTTTAGGTCAGGAAAAGCAACCCATTTGTGGAGAATCAGAGGCGGATCAAGGTCTTACTAAAAGACATCTATTCACTTCAGTGAAGCTGAATCTGTCCCTGTCCCTATACAAGAAGTAACAGGGAGCAAAATCCCCCTCCCCCAGATAAACAAACATGCCCAATGCAATCAATAAAATTGTCATTTACATCCCAGTTGTTGAATAACCATTATCAAATTCACTCTAATTTCTTCTAGAATCAAGAATTTGTTGTTGATTACCTAGGAAAAAAAATGACTCCGCATTTTTTTTCATAATTGCTCATATTCTGTCTCTGCGCTCTCCAAAACTCAATTTTTTCCTGTCCATTTCTGCAGCATATATTTACACACCAGTTCATGGGGTTCTGTCCAACTTCAGTAGTTATTACCTCCTCAGTACCCCTTCCAGGCTAACCCTTAAAATGTGTAAACCAAATTTTGAGAGCACAAAACTCTGATTTTAGAGGTGTTTCAGGATTTTCAAAAGTACCTCCTACCTACATTTTCTCTTGCTGAAATCCACAGAAAAATAACAGAAGCATTGGACTTGTCTTCCCACCTGCAATTTAATAGAGGAATCATTTAGATAGTTTAAAGTTGGTTAATTCAGTACAGGCAGAATTCTACAAACAGTTAAAAAAGATACTTGAGAGAAGAAAAATAAAATTCTCATTTAAACTCTTGCAGAGAGTTTACCTCATTACCTATGGTATGCTAATGAAGATCATAAGGTCTTCACATTCAGTAAAGAGAACTTATGGTGGGACTTTGGCAATTGGTTGTGAGACTTCTAGAGTAATGGCTTACAGATTGGGAAATGTATTCTTTATTTAAAAATAAACAAAAACAGGAGAATACGATTTTCCAGTACAAGTATAATGAAAGGAGATAAACAGAGAGGTAAATCAAAAGGCTTAGATGAGGATTGTAAATATTTTAGCCTTCTAGTAATCTGAAGTTTTTATTACCCTGCTGAAACAGTAGTAAACTTAAGCAGCCATTCAGGATCTGTTTGGCGTCACTAAGCACAATTTGGCTACAGAAAAGGTTATTTCTGAGTCTTTGTTTTCTTAGACACAGTAAAGCTGAATGTCTATCCAAAAGCAGCTGATGACCAGGCAGATGAACAACCGATTTGCACTTCTTCAGGGAGGTGGGGATTTGGGGAGGGGGGGGTGTGTCTTAGTATCTGTTTGCCTGTTTGTTTATTTTTCAGCAGGGGAAGCAGATGGGTCATTTAGCTTACCTTCATTTGGGCAGTGCCCCTGGCCATAGAGCGGGTTGTCCTGCGGTGACATGCTGGTGAAGCATCTCCTACATCCTTTTGAATGATCTGAAAGGTTTCAAGGCTTACTGTG